TTTATTGTGCTTTCCCGTGCGCTTTTGTGCCTAGGAGAGCACAAACTCCCTTGCCGGTGTGAGCTGTGTCCAGTGCCCATGCTGGACTGGCGCCCTGGTGTGTTAGACTCCAGTCAGCCAGCACTCACACCCGTGCACCGAGCATGCTTTTTCTTTAGAGAGCACAGGTCCAGAGAGATTGGCGTTGCCAGCAAGGCGGATGGGTCATCCTGCTACAGTTGTGGGCAGGCCAGAGGTCTGAGCTGGCTTGGGGTGGGAAACATGAAGAAAGGAGGCCACGGGTAGAGAAAGAATATGTTAGCCTCACAGAATACCTCCATGCTAGAATCTCACCAGGTGGGAGATGCTGAAAATATAGTAGTAGACCTTTGAGGTTCTGGAGAAAATGGAAATGTGGGCACTTGCCTTGAATTTGGTGCTTTTGGTGCTTCTCTTGTCTCACCCTGCGCCTGACCTGGGGCAGATAGATGCATCAGCTTGGGAGTTGGGCTTGAAGTTCGAATCCCGCCTGGTGGAGAAAGCAATCTCGCCTGGATTTCTCGTTGCTAGAAGGGAGATGAGTCACTGTAAGGATTAAATGAGATAACACACGAGGAGCTAGACTGCGTGCTTGGAACACAGGCTCCCACGTGTAACTAACTAAAGACACGAACACCACTGAGTACCCGCCGTGGCCTGGCTGTCCTGCCTGGCACCGGGCGTTACGTCAGTTAGCTGACTCTGTGAGACAATCCTCTAGATGTAAGTTCCATGGGGGCGGGGACCCGTGTTCTCTGCGTGTCCAGCGCCAACGGAACCGCTCAGTGCAGGCTCCGAGCCTGGCTGCTGAGGGAGAGCTCGCCGCTGACGTGGAGATGACGCTTCTGCACAGAGGGAAGGGCCAGGCGAGACCCCAGAGTCCAGAGGACAGTAAAACAGGAGAATGGCTCGGCACCCTGGGAGAGGTTGGAAGGGGACTCAGTGGTGATAAAGTTGAACGAGTAGCAGTGAAAGAGGACAGCAGGAGATTTTAAGGGAACATTTATAACTTAAAAATACTGATTTCATGGGGGCAAGATTCAGATGTAAACTGAGCTTTGAGGTACTGAGGCCCTGATTCCTTCAACTGACAACTGTTTTGTACCCACTGCGAGTTGCATATGTGCATGGGGTGCGGTGGGAAGGGTTTGAGAGGCCTGGAGGCCAGGGTTTGAGATCCCCGCTGTGCCTCTACTCGAGACAGACCCATAATAGGAAATAAAGGGCATAATATTAAGTGAGCCCTTCTATGTACCAGACTCTATGATAATGCTTTACATTTATTGACTTAAAGGACTATAAACCCTGTGAGCTGTAGTATAAGGACCTGTTAGTTATAACTCAGGCAAAATGTTCATGTTCTCTCATTAGTAGGAAGAATGATGACCGTGACTGATCTGTATGTCAAACCTTGTGCAGGGCACTGTGTCCCTGACACTGCCATTCACAACGTGTGCTTCTGTCTCACAATGTGGGACTCTGTTACCTTCTGTGACTGTGACCCCCTAGGGCACATTTGTTATTAGGCACCAGTACAGTGTCTGGCAATTATAAGCACTCAGTAAGTGAGCCCTTCATGACTTCTAAGGTTTCTTGGTTCACTGCACATAACATCATCTTATCTGAATGCTCAGAACCCCTTGTGGAGGTGGGTTGATGGGGGATTATCTCTTTGAGAGGGAAGTGGAGCGCCCCAAATCTCAAGACTCAAGGTTGGAGGGCCCTGGGGACAGCACAGAAGGAGAGTCCTGAGCATCTGGTTTGCCTGTGCCTGACAAATGCCAGAGGATGTTAGTGGTCTCGTTTCCCTTTTCTAGTTGGTGACTAGAGAACTGAAAGCCAAAGTGGACTTAACCCCAGCAAGTGCAGATCTGCATTTTTGTAGGAACCATGTGAAATTGCTCTTTCTGACTGTCTTTGACTTGCATCCATTGGCGGTGTCCTCTGGTTCCACCAGGATGTGTGGCACTTGCCTTTCTCCTGCCTCAGTCACTTCCTTCATCTCTCTTTGCCTCTTCCCTCTCACTTACTTTTGAATCAGTTGTGCTTTGCACATGAGTAAGCTGCCTTAAATCCTTTCTGGGGACAGCATACAAATGGGAAAACGCAGCCACCCATTTTCCATGATCGGAAGTAACCACTATAAGCCTTTCTGTGTGTTGCTTTCCAGTACTTTCCTCTGCACATTTATACACATATTTCAGCAAACTGAAAACAGCCTGTAGTGACGTCAGCCCTGTGTTCCGTCCCTTTAGCATTTCTCCATTTGAACCTGATCCTTTGAAGTCTAGTGCTGTCTCATGACTATGCAGCACATCATTTGACATTTCTTGAGTTCCGGCCTTATCTAAGAGGATAGATTCGCTGTCACTGGGTCTGGCTGAGCAATTCTGAGATTGTCAATGCTGCCACAGAGCCCTGAAGAAGCTCCCAGTGAAGGCAAAAGTTCAAAGTGGTTTTGTTCGGGTGTTATTTTTGGATCTGCGTTCTCAGGCTTTTAGGATGCAAGCCACTATGTGGGCCCCTCTCTTGGAGCAGCTGTGGCCAGGAGAGAAAGTGCCAAGCTGCTTGCCTGAGTCCTCAGGGGCGGGCACCCAAGTGCGCTGGCCCAGAACCCTACCGTGCCTCTGTGACCCCACCTGGGTGGCTGAGATCCAAGCAGGCAGCATTTGCTGTGCCCACGTCTTCTCTGGCTTCAGGAACAGGCAGCTTCTTCCCGCCAAGGACTTTGGAATGAGCAGGGCAAGGTGGGGGTTTCCCATTGGTCTGAAACCCTCGGTTTTCCCAGGCCGGGTGACTCAGAGTGGGGTGCTGAGTTACGGGAGAGAAGCGGAGCCTGGGCTCCTGGGTGCCTTACTCACAGCACAGCCATCTCCCAGGGAGGGCGTCAACACCAGCTCCTCGTGGACTCTCTCTGCCCTTAGACTTGGCAAAGGACTCCAGCCCCCATGAAGGGCGGGGCACCTGAGTGAGGGCCCTACGGACAAGCCGTCTGTGTGGGTAGACAGGGCACTGGGCCAGCGTCCAACACTGGAGAATATGTGGAGGGTCCGGATGAGGATTGGCAGTCCCCAGACCTGGTTTCTTTGTCCTCCCCATTTCTCTCCTCACTCTCTCTCTCTCTCTCTCTCTCTCTCTCTCTCTCTCTCTCTCTCTCTCTCTCTTTTAATACTTTTCTTACATAGAGCAAGTCATAGAAGCCTACCAGTATTGTTTTAATGGTAAAATTGGACATAAAAAGCTGGATACCTGGCTTTTCCAGAAGAGTCCAAAGATTCGACAGCAAAAGACCAAATCTTATGCAACAACTGGAGCTGAGTAGTTTCTACCCCGGACAGGGCGTTTCCTCCCCAGATTAACCCGGAGCCCCTCTGTGTCCCCACGCGCTGCCCACGTGAGCCTGAGCAGTGTCTGCCCGCCTGCTCCGACCCTTATCTGTTCCCACCTGCTAGCCTGGGCTGGCGCTGAGCTGCTGCTGTCTAAAGACACTTCCCTCCCCTGCCCCTCTCCCCTCGCCCCACCGCCAGGGGCAGGGCCCTGGGAGGGGCAAGGGGAAGGCAGGCAGCTTTGGGGAGGCCAAATCTCCCTAGGCTGCTGGAATCCTAGAAATCACAGCTCTCTTAAGAAGGAAACTGTGTGAGAGGCCCCTGTTTTTGTGGCAAGAAGAGTGAGGTGGTAGTGCAGGGGGTGGGCTGACGGCCCGCAGAGTCAGTAGGCAGAGGGAGGACAAGACTGTCCTGGTACAGGCCACGCGTCCCCTCAAACTGTCACTGCTGCATGTTTCAGTACACGGAGGTGCACTCCTAGAAATTATATGGGGGATGGGGATCACCGTGTGTTCTACATGTTTAACATCACTGTATGTGTGCATACGTGTATCGAGTGTATGCATGTATACTGTGTGTGCATATATACATTGATGGAGTCCTACTATCACATATTCATGTAGCTTTTCAGTTACAAAGCCCTTTCCTTATTTTATCTTACAAAATTTTCATTGCCTATGAGTTGGGTGAGGCAGGTCTGAATATTGCCCCCATTTAACAGGTGAGAAAGGAGGCTCAGATTAAATGGTTTGTCTAAACTCATAAGTGGCAGAAGTAAATGGATGACTGAGTAGTTTCGAATATTTTTTCTGATTCTAAAAATAGTGTGTATATGAATATATCCATAACAATAAAAATCTTACCCCCAGTTTTCCCTGTTAAGGGATATGTCCTCTACTGTTTTTTATCTTTTTTTTTATATCTGAGTAAAACCTATAGTTATCCTCTGCTTTTTCAGTGGTACCCCACTGGCTCATGGTTGGCTCGATGTGAGGATTTTATTATGTATTTATGAAATAGTAAACACCTTGTTTAGCTTGTATTACAGCATTATAATATGTCAATGGGAAAAGAGTTGTGAAGTTTGAAGTTGTTACACATTCATTCGTTTCCAGTTGCACACCACCGTAAGCGTTACCTTTATCAGCATCTATATACAAAACATTTTAGGGTGGGGCGTTAGGCACTCTAGGAGCTAAGGCAGCGGGGAAGACCATTCTCAAGCACTGTTGTCACACAGCCAGCTTTGCCTGTACAGACAGCACACTCACACACACACTCACACACACACTCACTCACACACACACTCACACACACACTCACACACTCACTCACACTCACACACACACTCACTCACACTCACACACACTCACACACACACTCACACACACACTCACACACACTCACTCACACACACTCACACACACACTCACACTCACACACACTCACACTCACACACACTCACTCACACTCACTCACACACACTCACACACACACACACTCACACCCCTACCTTTTTTCATAACTCCACCCACATTGTGTCTGTAACTGGTCTTTCTTTGGTGGTCGTCCATGGTGGGAACACGAGGCGCCCTCAAGGCTGTCGGGAGATCTGTGTGTGGCAGGTGCTTCAGAGTCACTCGTGTCTTCCTTTAGCACCTCCCCAGGCCTGGTGGACCCGGACCCAACAGAGGACGGCACTGAGGTTCCAGCCTGGATGGCTCTCGGAATTAAGTACAGACCTGTGAGTTCTCCCTTCTCTTTACGTCGTGCTCCCTTTCAATTTTGTTTAGTTATTTACTGTCATTACGAAATAATCTTAAATAATGTGATCAAAAGTTATATAGTCTTTAAGTTCTCGTGGTTAAAACTGTTTAAGTGGAAACAGTAGATAATATCACAGTAATTTGGACCCCAAATCCCAGTCCCTCAACCCAGGAAGAAACCATTTCTTTGGAGGTCTGTTGTTGAAAAAGAGATCACACTCTAACTTATGAGGCTAATAAACAGGGAGACGGTGGCTGGGGGCAGGGAAATGCTCAGCGAAGCTCTCTTAAGACCCGGCTGGTAAGGAGGGTCCCTGTGAAAACCTGGGAGGAGAATGTTCCAAGCAGAGAGGAGGCAGAAAGGCTGGACTAGCAGAGGCAGCTGCTCTTCTCTGCACTGGACGCCCCGCCAGGACCCAGGCTCTGAGGCTGGGAGTGAGAGCTGCTCCATGTGGGTTGCCCCAGGCCTCCATCATGGGACGTCCTTGTGAAGTGGGAGTTTAGTGCCAGTGGCCTCAACTGTTTAGAACGAAGCCCAGCACTAGGTAGTAAGAAAATGTTTCTGATGATCCAAAGCAGATGTTATTAAATCCAGGCAGCCAAAGAAAATAAAAGATGAATAGACACACTAGACCTCTAAGGCTTACTTACTCCACTCACAGTTTTAATGACTTGCTTGAATGAGTAAATGAGGAACTTCTTCTGGATCCACAACAGATTAGAAATAGCAAAATAATACTGATGCTAGATGATGATGATGATGATGATAAAAATAAAAGAGGCGAAGTTATTGGCACATAGAGTTGTAGCGATAACTCAAGTGCCCATGAAAGGCCTAACTGCTAACGCTATGCAGGAAGAAAAGCGGGAAAAGGACACACACACACACACACACACACACACACACAATTTAACAACAGCATAGCTCCTTGGGTCCATTTAGGACAGAAAAACAGCTTAAGGAATTTTGGGATTGTCACTGGATTTTGTAAAGTGATCATAGGTCACTGGGAGGTTGTTAAGTTCACTTTGGTCCCAGCAGAAAAATGTGTGTCCTCTATTTTAAGAGGTTATCACAGAATTGGTTAAACATTCTCATGCCACTTAAAAAGTTCGGCTTATTCTGGAGGGTTTTCCTGTAGGAAACTAAATTCTAAAGATGGTGACAGAGAAGGTAGATTTTAGTTGAAAGCACAGGTGCTGGAGCCAGACCAGCTGGGTTTAAACCACTCCCTGCGTGACCTTGGGCAAGGTACTTAGTGTCTTTGTGCCTCAGTTTGCTCGTCAGTAACGTGGTGATGATAAACACATGTAGCCCTCAGCGGGCAATATGTATGTGTTCACTGGGCTAAAGGCTAACATTTACGTGACGGAGCCAGGAAGCAGCTCGAACTTACTGGCTTCCAGGGGCTTCAAACTCGGTGGTATAACAGAGCCTACGCTCTTCACTGTACATTTCTCCCCCACACCATTCGATTTTTAAAACCGTGAGGGGGACTCACGGAATCAGCCACCCTAACCGCCGGCTTTGTCAATACGAGGAGCAGAAGCAGCATAGCCGGCCCTGAACCCCCTTGCCTTTCCCATTGGAGGGTTGAGCTGCATCTTTTCTAAGAGACTCTTTTAAGAATTTGGAAATGTTAGCAGAAAACTATGACCCACTGTCCCACTGTGAACCCCACAGAACGTTTCTGGGTCTTGTTGAGATAATGCTGTGAATGGGACAACAAGCACCTTTTATTCAGTTTATCTAAGGCGTTTTTCTGTGTTTCACTGAGTCACTGGGACCTTTTTAATGGCCTGCTAATACGCTGCCTAGATGTACCACAGTAGTGTGATCATTTCCCTATTTTTTAATCTTTCAACTCTATAAATGATAGCAGCAAATGTCTTTTTGGTCTATATCACATTCATTTTATCAATAAGTATGTATCGTGCATTTTACTACAGTGCCAGGAGGAGACCCCAAGGATGTAGTGAGGAACAGGACAAAGCCCCCTTGCTTGTAGGGCCTGCATACTGGTGAGCTGGAAATAGGTATTTAAGAAAAAGAGGAAGGGAGTCACAGAGACTCAGTTCTAGGAGGCTCTTTGGGAAGAGGTGATTAGAGCAAGTCAGATGTTTCTGATGTTCTGAGAGTAAATATTCCTAGATTCCTAATTCCTAGAAGTGGAATTACTGGGTCAAAAATGTGTGATAAAAGTAAGGCACTTGAGACATTCTGCCAGTTGTTTTCCAGAGCGTCCAGCATTGCTTATCTTACAATATCTTCTCCAGCATGGCATATCATACTTTAAACTTTTTTTCTTTTTGGCTTCTTTGATAATTTGTCACTGTTTTAACTTGCATATCTTGGGTTGCTAATGAGGCTGAGAGCTCTTATTTTTAATAGGCATTTAGCCATTTGTATTTATTTTTCTGGGAATTGCTCATTCTAGTCCTCTGGACTGCTTTGGCTCATGTGTGTCAGAGTGCAAGGGCTGCCAGAACTGGACTGTCAAGGGTGTCCAGAGCCACAGGACTGAGAGAGGCTTTGTGGAGAAATGGGTTATAAGATCTTTACAGAAGTCTGGAAAGAATGTGGTTCCAACAAAGGGTCATTAATCCAGGCAGCATGGCACAGTAATAATTGCTACTATTTATGGGATGCGTGCTTGATGGCAGTCACTTTCCAGACCTTTAATCTCACCATTAATCTCATGTCACCTTTAATCTCATAACCCTGCGAGGTATTATACAAAGAATCGTTGCCTTTTTATAGATGGGAAACTGACCCTGTGTGCTCAGGCCCACACACACCCACTCAGAAGTAGCACTGCTGGGTTTTAAACCAGATCCAATGAGTCATGCTTTCTACACAATAGCCTGGTGGTAGGGAAAGCAGGTAGGATGTGCAGGAGCAGATGCATTAAGTTGTACGGGTATGTTGAGGCCACTGGAGGGGGTTTGCGTAGATTTGCGGTTGGGTTATCTCAGTGGTTTGCTGCAGTGACATCTCGGGTGAGCGGCTGAGGGAGAACCTCAAGAGTAAACTGTGGCGTGCCAGACTACACATCAGAAGGCGTAGGCATGGCTCCTTGCCCTTCCTGTCACTCCCCTCCCGAGCTTCTCTCTCTCACGGCAATGGGGCGCACCCTCGTTCCGCGGCTGCTGCTCTAAGCTGCTTTCCCTCCACAGTACATGGCTCCATGGCCCGAGTTGGACAACGCTCAGCCCAATCCCATGGCAGAGGCCGTGGGTCAGCAGCCCCCCACTGGTGACAAAGGCACCGACAAAAGTGAGTACCCCTCGCCCGGTCCTAGTCCGGCCTCCCAAAGGGCCTGGGAGTCTCAGGTCTGATTCTTCATGGCTTCTGTTGCTTGTGTGGGCAGATGACACCAGGACCCCTGTCACCAAGATCGAACTCCTGCCGTCCTACTCCATGGCCACGCTGATAGAGGAGCCCACGGAGGTGGATGACCCCTGGGACCTGCCTGAGCTCCGGGACACTGGGGTCAAGTGGTCAGGTAAGAGTGAGGCCCGCCAGGGCAGGTGGGAGGGGCACTGCCTGTTCCACATCGCCTCCTTCCTGTCACCCTGGCCATCCCTCCTCATCCTGGCGAGGATGTCAGCCCCGTGGTGGAGGGTTAGAGTCACAGAACAAGGCAGTGAACAGGGAATCTTTTGTCCTTCCTTTCAACAACTGCGCCGGCTCTGGAGTTATAACCAAGGCAGACCAGGTTCCCGGTATGGGGGACAGTGCCGTGGATATGCTGGTCCTCAGACGAGGCCCCGCTCTCAAAGAGCTCCTTGGAGGGGTCCCCGCCCCCAAACACGACGCACAGTAGGGCCGAGTGCCCAACACTCTGCTCTTTCCCTGGCGTCCGCAGGGCTTGAGGTCTGTCTGCACCAGACAGCTAGAGGGAAGGAGGTGGGAGGAGAGGGAAGGGAGGAGGAGAGACTGTTTTGAAAGTAAGTGGTTCAGGATGATGGAAATGGTAAGAAATAAGAAAAAAAAGAAAAAAGAGATGAGAGTAAGTGGAGAAATGAGCAGTCAAGGACGCAGCATCTCAGGATGTCTGTGGGCCCGAGCCGTCCGCAAATTGAGGCTGTGATAGCTACTGTGCAGCTCACTCTAGAAAACACTCAGTGCTGTTCAGAAGGTGCTTTGGAGAGCCATTAGCCTCCGACCCTGCACGCAGCAGCGGGCTTGCCGCTCATCCATCGGCGGCTCAGTTCTGTGTCCCAGGCCACATGGAGCCCCTCCTGCCACTTGGGGATCCCTTAGAGACGCCTCACCAGGGTGGCAGCTAAATGGGCCACAGTGGTGACTGCTGGAGGCCCGCAGCAGTGACGCGTCCGTCTCTGAGCACGGAGACAGAAGAGCCTGCAGCCTCCAGGCTGGGAGGGGGGACGGCCGAGCTCACTGCCAAACCTCAGAGTTTCAGACACTAAACGCCTTCCTGCCCCCTCTCCTCTCCCCCACAGAGAGAGACACCAAAGGGAAGATCATCTGCGTCTTCCAAGGGATCGGGAAATTCCTGTTGCTCCTGGGGTTTCTCTACTTCTTCGTGTGCTCCTTGGACGTCCTCAGCAGCGCGTTCCAGCTGCTTGGAGGTAGCGATGGGATGGAAGGCACAGGGGCCGGGGCTGAGGGGTCCTATGATTCAGTTTGGTTCCAGAAAAAGTCAGCAAAGCCTTCTCCAGCTGCAGCCTCCTGAGTGTTTTAGGACTGGAGCCCACTTCGGATCATCTTAGGAAGTCTACGTCTCCCACTTTCTAAGTTAATTAATTAATTTATTTTTGAGGCAGAGTCTCACTCCGTTGCCCTGGCTAGAGTGCAGTGGTGTCATCTTAGCTCCCTGTAGCCCCAAACTCCTGGGCTCAAGTGATCCTCCTGCTTCACCCTCCTGAGTAGCTGGGACTACAGGTGTGTGCCACCATGCCCGGCTAATTTTTCTATTTTTTGTAAAGACAGGGTCTCACTCTTGCTCAGGCTGGTCTAGGACTCCTGACCTCAAGCAATCCACCCGCCTTGGCACTCCCAGAGTGCTGGGTTACAGACATGAGCTTCTGTGCCCGACCTATGTCTCTCATTTTATAGAAGAGAAAATGGAGGCCTGGGCTCACATGGCCTAGGCTGGGAGCCAGGGCTGGAGCCTATTCCAAGCCATTTGTCCACACACCCCAAGCAGGATGCTGTTTGACATAAGACTTACTGAGGGGTCCCTGCTGTCTAGGGCCTCTCCCCATCAGGGGGGTTTGTGGAGTAGGATAGCAGGCTCAAGCCAAAGCAGAATCAGAAATAAGAGCTTGGTTCTTGTTGGAGAATGGACAGGGGTCCCCAGACTAGGGGACTCTGTATTCATTGCAGTTGCCTACAGCTCTTAGGACTGAGTGTGTCTATGCAGTAAGTGGCCCCCAGGAGTGAGGTCACCATGTGCACGGTGGCCTTCAGACTGCACTGGGTGACCACAGCAACTCTGAGTGCCTACCGAGTGTGAGCTTTCCCAGGGTCCTCTCACTGACACGCCTTCCCGAAGCCTCCCATTGCGCAGGGGAGGACTGCGGCTCAGGGATCACTCAGTGGCCCTGAGAGTCACAGCCGGGAATTAGCGTGGTAGGATCCAGTCTCATATCTGGGAGACACAATAGTCTGAAGATTCCTGTACCTGCTTGGTGCCTCTCCTGAGACCTATCTTTGTGGCCCGGAAGCGTTGGGGAGAGTGGGAGTTCCTGCTGGGGCACGAGGGGCAAACTCTGGGCCTCCTGGTCCATGGCAGGGTCAGCAAGGGACTTTGCTCTCCGACCATCTCAGGCAAGTCAGGTGTGTTCTCTGGGCCTCTGCCTTCTTTATGGATTGGAGAATAGATGGGTGGGCCCAGAGGCTGGGGCTTGGCTGGGGGATGAGAAGACTCACTGTTGGAGGATAAATCCTCTGAATTGGGAATATATCCCAGAGGCAGAGGAATTAGGGCATAGTGGCTCACTGGCACCCCCTGAGCGCAGGACAGAGTTGAGGCCAGGTTCATGGTCACAGAAGGCTGGAGAAGGGCTTGCTGATGTAGGGAGAGGTTCAAGGAGGGGAGGGTGCGGGGTGCAGGGTGAAGGGGCAAGAGCAGCCAGGGGCTGGTGGTGGGCAGGGGAGGAGGTCAGAGAGGCCGAGCTGGGCAGAAGCACAAGGAAGCACAGTCCCATAGGTGGCAGCAGGGCGGGGGCCGGGGTCCCCAGGCTGAAGCCAGCCAGCCTCCATGGGGCTGCTGTTTCCTCAGCTCCCACCTGACCGCCCCAGTCACGTGGCCATCGGTTTGTTTTTCAGGAAAGGTGGCCGGACAGTTCTTTAGCAACAACTCTGTCATGTCCAACCCTGTGGCGGGGATGGTGATCGGATTGCTGGTGACTGTCCTCGTACAGAGCTCCAGCACCTCCACGTCCATCGTCGTCAGCATGGTGGCCTCCTCGAGTGAGTCTGGATTTGCTCTGACACGCCCACTGTCTGCCTGCCTGGGCCAGCTCCAGTGTGCTCCACTCTGGACCCCAGGCAGCTTCCTGTTTGCATTTGGCTGGATCTGGAAATGCACCGTGATGCTTGAGGACTCAGTTCTGAATTCTCTAGACCTGTGCTGTCCAGCCTAGGAGCCATTGGCCATATATGACTATTTAATTTCATTGAACCTTAATTGATTTAAATTTAAAATATAAAAATCAGCTCATCAGTTGCACTAGCTGCATTCCCAGTGCTCAAGGGCCACATGTGGCTGGCAGCTGCTACACAGTACCATGTAGCTATAGAGGAACATTTGCATCATTGCAAGAAAGTCTGTTGGACAGGGTCACTCAGTGTGAAGAATAAAGACATCTAATCACATAGCACATGGGCTTGGGGACAACTGAGCTTGGAGAGGTAGCACTCAAACTTGTATCTGCCTGATCCTTGCTCTGGTTAAGTTGTATAGACCCTCTGAAGGGAACCAGTTTGAACTGAATATTTTTCATCCCAAGCCAACATTTTAGCAAAAAATTAACTAGACTCTCTGGGTTCAATTAGAAAAAGATATTTCATCTTCAAAATATTTTACTTGCATATGTCCAAGAATTGTGGCAAGATACCAATTTTATTAGAAAAAGAGTTATACTTGGCCTAATAAATAAACAGGTGTTTAATGTCTGGCAGGTAATTGACGTTTCCTTATAGATGAGACTTTGTGCTGTGCACAACTGACTTGACTGTACATGTGAGCCCTGGAGCTCATCCACCTAAGTCCTGAAGCATTGACTGCTTCATGGTCTCCTTCAAGCTGCCTTACTTTTCTGATAGGGTGGGGAGAGAAATTTAGAAAGGCACTTTTAAAGTGAGGCCATTGGAAACTGAGGTGTTCAGGGGTCTGTGGATATCTGAAATTGCGTGCAGGAATATTTTTTTTTTTCTTGCACACACGTGTATTTCTATGGTACATACCCTAAGTTTTATCACAGTGAGGTGCATGACCCCAGACAGGATAAGAACTGCTGCTTTGGGTGATTACCAGCATGAGTGAGTCTAGCCTGCCCTGGGCCATGTGGGAAGGTGGCCAGGCTGCCTCCCTAGACTTGCTAATGGTTCTTTTCCACCCTCTAGTGCTCACCGTGCGGGCTGCCGTCCCCATCATCATGGGCGCCAACATTGGGACCTCGATCACCAACACCATCGTGGCATTCATGCAGGTGGGAGACCGGAGCGAGTTCAGAAGGTAGGAGGCTCAGAAACCAGCCTGTGCTCGATCAGGCCCGCGGTGTTCGGCCATGCTGTTGTAACTGCCTGTAACTAGCTGGTGAGAACACGCTTGACACGCTCACACTGGAGCGCCTAGAACTAGCCACAGGGGATGCAGCTAGGATTGAATCACATACTTCCCACCACATGAAACCCAGCTCCCTGATCTGCACAGCGGGTTAGTGATGATACTTGTCACCACTGTGCTGTGCTCAAGATGATACAAGCACGTACCTAGGTGTTCAGCAGAGTGCCTGGCACGCAGCCAGGGCTAGAAACTCACCTGTTGGGTGGTGGAGTTGAAACAAGGCGAGTTAGGGTAGGATTTATTGTTTTTCCTTAGCCATAAACAATTACAACTTATTACACCTTCCACTCTTGGCTTGTACAACCTGTGCCATTATTTTCTTTGTTCTTCACTTACATACCAATAAAAGGCAAAATGGAGTTGTCATGTGCGCTTAAAAGCTGAAAATAGAGCAGATTGGCTATTGGAAACTCTTTCCAAAAAGATTAAGGTGAAAATTAGGTACATTTCCTGGCCTCTTCCCTACTGTGATGGGCTCTTTCCAGAAATTATTAAATACGGAAGCAGTTCCCAGCTTGGCTATGTATGGGACGCGACTCCCTGTGGCTCAGGCAGGCCCCTTACCTTCCTAGAACAATAATTACTCTCACGCGAGGCTTTAAAAACACTTTGACAAACTACTAACAAATATTTGTATCATTTTACATGATACCAGCAGTGTTTGAAAGTGTCTTAAGTCATTCTCTCTAGGAAGAATACAAATACTTTAAAAAATAAATATTAGCTAATATGATAAGTGAAAATGTATATAAGTAAATACATTGCAAATGTCTTTTATTACTAGTGAAGTTAAGCATCTCCCCACATATTTATTAGCTTCTTCTATCTGTTCCAGTCCCATGTTCTTCTTGGTTTAGGGTATCTTTTGACATGCAGATTTTTTTGAAGGAAACCTTTATCATTGAGGGAGGGGGCAAAAAAGTCTGTAGCAGAGTTTCTTAATCTGGAGATAGGATGTACCTGCGGAGGAACCTTTGGACCTCCTCAGATAGATGCAAAGAGAGGTGTATATTTGCCTTGTTTCCTATACAGACTATTCATGCATTTCATAAGACTCTCCAGATCTTAGAAAAAAGGTTGAGACTTCATTTGCATAGAGGGTTTTCATTGTTACCTTACATTCAAGGCAGGTTGCCTTCATACATGTGATTCAAAAGTAGCCTTTTTTGTCTTTGTCTTTTTCTTTTTTTTTCTGACACAGGGTGTTCCTCTGTCCCCTGGGCTAGAGTGCAGTTGCATCATCATAGCTCAGTGCAGCCTCAAACTCAAGTGATCCTCCTGCCTCAGCCTCCTGTGTAGCTATGACTAGAGGCACGTAACACTACACTCAGCTAATTTTTATTTTGGTAGTGACAGGGTCTCACTGTGTTGCCCAGGCTGATCTGGAACTCCTGGCCTCAAGTGGTCCTCCCTCCTCGGCCTCCCAAATTGCTGGGATTATAGGCATGGGCCACCTTGTCCAGCCTAAGAGATGTG